TTGTTAGCACTGACCAGGGAGTGCTGTTTCCTCCTCCCTTCATTTGTCCTGAGCGACAGAGGGTTTATTCCCAAAGAATCTGCTGCTCCAGTGTGTCCAATCCCCGAACTACTTTTTAACTCTACAGAAGAGATCAGTTGGACTCTGTGGATCTGCACAGCCACCTCAGAGACAGATATTACATTCATCCACGTTATTGAATGTATGCTTTACAGAGAGGGACAATTAATGTTTGACAGTCATGACAAGAAGTTAAAAGTGATCATCTTATTGGAACAGTTGGTCGAGAAAGTTACGCTTCCAAGGCGTGTAGGTCTCCTAACTGCCTTCCTATGATTTCAATAATCAAAGAAAACTTTAGATAACCACGAAAGATCTTTTGACCTCAACAGAGAAGGAACTAGTCTTGCCAGCAAGAAGGACAAGTGTTTCCTGATACATAGCTGAACACAGTTGAACAGCATCTGATTTGTAAGAGACCAATATTTTTAAAACTCTTTTTATCTCTTGAGAAACAAAATAATGAAGAAATGAAGGGAACATCCAAACACTTCATTTTAGTTAAAATTGCAGCATATAATTTGGTCTGATCAACACAATTACAAAGGCCAAGGGAAGATCCAACAAAACTGATTAATTACTATGGAAATTAGAAATCAATTTATGTGAGCATTGACATAAAAGCATCTTATTAGTTTATCTTACTGAGACACCATCAACAGCATATCAGACAGCAGCACAGTGGTTCATCCACCTACACAAAATCACTGTTACTCAGAAGGCCAGTTTATCTGCTCCACAGAAAAGGAACTTACGCAGTGGCTCAAAACGCTGTTCATTTTCATCTGTCAAATAAGCTATAAAAGGGTCACAAAATTATATGATATTTATTCACCGGCCAGTAGGCATTATTAAGCTCTGTCATTATTTTACCATAATGTGAGTGAACTCCTAGTGTTTGAAGATATGATATGCCAATACAGCCAAACAGTGATGCTGTTGTAAATCAGAGAACATGAGATGAACAAGTGTAAAGGGGAGGTTATAGCGTTCTATAACATAAACCACTTTTCTTCCTTTGACTAACATAAGAATTAGCATGTCAGTAAATTCTTTATGTTTTGGAAGAACAAGATCTCAAGAGTCCTTAATATCATACTGTAGGAAATTAAACTGGAGGTCTTTACTCAAAACTGATGAGTCAGTAAACCCAAGAATTAAAGGAGAATTTGAAAGCTTCCTCTGGAGAGCCAAGACAGGTTTAGCAGTTGGTCAAAATTTGAGACAGAAAAGTTATATTTGCCTAAGTATATATTTTATTTCAACAAAAATGGAATGCAAAAACTTACAGACATTCCATACTTGGTTGACAAACAGGAATTACATGCCTAAATCTGAACGGAGAAAAGACAATGTAATGCTTTTGTACTAAAGAGCATTTATGTGCTATTGGTGTTGGTTTTGCTCAGTGATGTACAAATGGTTGCTCTTCACCAGTAATTTGGTATTTTAGAGGAAGTTCTCACACTGCCTTTCACTTAGCCCCAGAACTCCAAGTCTTCATTTCAAAACAATACTGATGCTTCTAATACCCAAACCAAAAGATTTCCTTCCTTTGCCAATAGTCCATTTGACGCAGATTTTGACATTATAGCTTTGAGAGAAGTACAGTCATGGAAAATACTGTCTTCGATGTCTGAACAAAGATGAATGAAATGTTTTTTAAATGCACTGAAAGATATGAAAGAAGATTTAGTAATTCTTACTCATTCCAATTTCCAGTTTTAGAGCTCAGTAAATCTCTGCAAATATCTTCCTTCAACACTATCTGAAGCCTTGATAATTTCAATTCTGGATCAGGTCCAAGAGATATTTCAGACCAATACTTTGCTATGACCCTCAACTGAAAAGACCCTGGGATGTGCTCCTTTCCTTTCCTGCAATAAAATCTCCAAAATACCTACAAGGCTCTCTCTTTAGACTATGTTTTACCAGAAGGCATAAGCAAAGCTTGAACACCTTCAGCATGCATATGTCTGTCTAGGATCCCAAACCAACCTGGTGTATTCAGTTCTGTATAGGCTACATGCCTTCTTCCTCCCAGGACCTGTTTTTCTTTCTGCCACCTCTAAGGTACAGCACTGGATCTAGTCCCTGATGCAGGGACTATCCCTATTTCCCCAGGCATCATCCAAACTGTAGCAGTCCTTGTTTTTCCTTTTGTTCCCCAACACTTCTGTGTCACCAGGGCTTTACAGAAACTAAGCAGGGGCAGCTTCTCTCAGGGGAAGACTAAACTTTCCCCCTCCAAGTCCACTGAGGCCCAGACACCAGCAACCAGACAAAAAACCTTTTCTGCAAGAACTAACAAAAAACTCCTAACTACTTCTGTTTTTCACAGCTGGTCAATTTTCTCTCCTTATTCAGGACCACTTAAGTAAGCGACAATGCTCTTCTCTAACATTGTACAGGTTACATCCTTGCTACATAATAATGTACAACCCCAAAGCTTCCCATTACATAAAGAAAAGTCTCTTTAAACTAAACCTTTATTTCTCAGTGGTCCTTGACAAAAGATAACAACTGTACTCCTTACCATGAGGCTTTTGACAATACAAATTCAGTATAGTTAGTAAAAAAAGAAAATGCAACCACTGCTAAAAAAATCATAAATCTCTTCAGCCATCTACAATCAAGGATAAACATTAAATAATTTTTACAGAATTCTTGCAATCTTCAGCTTTTTTTTACCTTTTAACATTATTTTATAATTTTTCAAATATTTATACTAATGCTAGCTTTAAAATCTGGGCTTTTTTTGTTATCCCACACTTGGCTTTGATCTTGACCAACTTTGCACCAAGGCTGACACTTACAGGTTAGTTTGGAATACTAAATGTAGTTACACAACTGGCTAGTTTCCATAGTTAACTCTGGTTTACTTTATTTCTCCTATTTTCTTCCCACTCTTCCACTCTTTAACGTCTTTCTCCCACTTTGCTTAATGTTTTCCTTGTATATATACTTTTGTAATCTTTTCCAGTGTTCCTCCTTTCTTCCTTATAGTTTTCCAATTCTCAAATTCCATCCTCAGGAATACCCATTTCTCTGTCCTCTCCTTCCTTTTTCCCACACCCCATTTCTTCCTACTCTGTCTTTGACTTCTTTTTTCAGATGTGCCTGCTGATTTATCCAATGCTCTTGCTCTCCAGAATGGTCCAGTTCCTGCTCTGGGATTCAGTCACTGCCTATACTCACAAATGTAACTTAAACCCTCTCTCACACTCATATAACGCCTTAGGATGTCCTGTATCCACAAATGAAAGTCTTCAACTCACTTCAGACTTGACTCGCAGAACATAAGCTCTGGAAACTCAGAGAAAAGGCTCTAGAGCAGTGTCCTAGCACAAGCCATACTGTCTCACAGGACCAGTAGAGAAGCCATGACATTTGTGCCATGAAGACAGGGACTTTCCTAACTGCACTAACTACAAAGCACTGCTAATGTTTGCAGGCAGAGGGAACGGCGAGGATGTGCTCACCTGCAGACCCACACCAGTCTATGCAGCATGAGATGAGCAAGCTTGCAAGCTGTTTTTGAATAGGCAGACTGAAGATGTGATGTCTGTGGGTGGGAGCATTGTAACTCCAGAAGATACGGCACATTAGCCAGTGGTTTAAGACAAGATGTGATTTTGGCAGCTCTGCAAGCTATAGTGGGCAGTATTCTGCTGTGCAACAGTGATTCATTTCTTCTTTCCATTAGGGAAATCGTGTTACCATACCAGACGGGTATGGTATCATTTGCCATTTCAGTTAAGAACCATGATAAGTGTGTTTTTTTGTCTTCAGTGCTCTTTACTCACACATAGGCTGTTAAAGACATTACCGTCTAAATCGATTAATTCTCAGCTTGGACAATGTGTGCAAACCTCACAGCATTCTAGAGGTGACAGCACGATTCCTAACAAAGAAACAAAAAAGGCACAAAACGACCCTTCAAAAGCAACAAAGCTAGAAATCTGGCACAGGAGGACGCAAACACCAGGTATTCAAAACATACAGTTTGGTTATACTCACAGCTACTGTCACGAGCAAACCAACCTAAAAAGGAAACTGTCTGGTTGGGTATCAGCCATCACTGTTACAGGTACAGGGAAGAAAAAAGTCTTGTTCAGGAATTCCTTAAGGAGGAAAAAAGACAAGCTAATGCCAAAGTTTTTTACTTTCTCTCACCTTGTATTAGCCCAGAGCCCAGAGCTGTATATTGTGCCCATTATCTAGGTGCAGCAATGAAGTTGCCTGTCAACAAATGGCAACAAACAAGAATTAAGGTAACTTTTACCCTTCTCATGCTGCTCATGAATCATCCCGAAAATATGGTCTTTAATCACTGTATTTCACTTTTTCCTGTTCAATGTAAAAACAGTGGTAAAAACAGCATGAGGAAGGATCAACATACAGCTTTCAAAATCTGACTGCCAGACTATTTCAGTGTTGTTATGTACTCTTGAGATTTCTCCCCTCAGTTATACACTGCACTACTTAGATTCATTAGTGTGCATGTAGTTCTAAGAAGACAAATTTATTCTCAGTGCCAAGAGTAAATCCTGATATCAGAGACATTGTTGATTATTTCAAAGAAAAACACCCCATCAAACTGAAAAATAACAAAAATAATGAAATGAAATTACAACAGCCCAAAATAAACCAATTAATTTTTACATTCTGAATTTATTTTGACAAATCTGCAGCAATTATCAACTGTGTGAGTAACATTTAAAAAGAATAGAGATTTAGATACTTTATTAGTGGTGTATTTTCTTCCAACTTCTATAGTTCTTTTATGTCTAAAAAATAGATTTTACTCCTAGTCCCTCACTAGTATGCAAATTTCTACCAGAATCAAGTAACACATAGAAAAGGATGAAAAAAAAAATTTAATTTCTGAAGCACACAGTATTCCGTTTTGTTTTGTTTTGTTTTGTTTTGTTTTTCCCCCACTGCAAGTAAAGCCATTTTTCACAACTGCTCAGCAAACAGGAGAAAGTCCATTAGAATCTTCAAACTGCTAACAAAGACTCTTGGCTAACAGTACTGGTCTAAAAAGCAGATAAGCCATATAATTTTACAAGAAGCAACCCACTGAATCCTTCAGCAAACACAGCTTGGCAATCTATCTTCAGTTCAAAATAATGAGGTGGCAGGAGTGTGATGGAGAAATAAGTCTTCAAAAACATCACGTAAGGGAATCCAGCTGTGCTTGTATAGTTTCCAGCTATTTAAAGGAACAAAAAGAGAGGAAAAAAACCTCCACTCATAAAATGTTGTTTAGAAACATGCAAACAGAAATAAAACCACATTCCAGTATCTTCAACTATGCATACCAAATCTATTTGCATAGCAATATAAAAACCCTGTACTCATGAATATTTGTTTTTACATGAAGCTATTAGAATTCATTGCTGCAGCTTAAATATTCAAATTTTAAAAGAAACAGTTGTCTAAATACTGCCTCTTTTACATGCACAGCTGTTTTGCTGTGAATTTCTAATGCATAATAACAAGGTAAAAAAATAATAGAATTCATTTTGACTGGATTACAAGCCTGGCATCTCAACTGAAGTTGCAACACAAAGATGCTGTTTCCAGAGAGATCCCCATTGTTAATCATCAGCTACTCCTCCGGATCTAACTGCAAGGTATGCTTACAATGACCCAATCCCTGACTATTCCAAATCTGAATGCACACGCTCTTCTCGAAAACGCTTTATGTGATCAAACAAATCCAACAGCCTGAATTTAGGATGGATCCACTTTTTTCTAGTTTTATTAGATTTAATTCATGCAGGCACTACTTCCTACTGAGCAGCATAAGGTGTTTAGAAAGAAACTACAGTATTGTAAAATCTACAGACCTTGTTATAGAACTCAAACAGCTCCTGATGGCTAAATTCTACAAACACTTTCTTCAGGTTCTGTAAAGAAAAAAGAAGAAAGGAATAAGCAAATTTGTTTTCATTTCTCTTTTGCATTAATTCCAGTAAATCAGAATATGAAATTAAGCTACATGAAAGATGTTTGCAACAGTTAGCTTTCCATTCAATACGATGTCCCTCATACATGTATAGTCCATTTCAGTGAAGAATTCAAGTTTTCAGGTACATCCCGTGAAGAACAGTAATAAAGTAATCTATGAAAATATTTAGTTATTTTTAAGTCAAACAAAAATGAAAGATCACATCTGTCTTTCTTAGCAGTCCATCTAAGATCTGGTAAATACCATTACACAGTGACAAAGTTAGTAGTGTATCTGATTGAACTGGCACAGCTATTAGTGTACTAGCACAGAGATGATACTTCTATTCATTAATCTAAGAGTTCCCATATGAGATTGCTGACACTGCTATAGGCATCTCTGCATAGATTCAGCCCAAGTTAACAGCTAAGACAACAGCTTCAAAGCAGTGCTTAAACACTAAAAAAACCCCACAAAATAACACAACTGACGAATATGTGGATAAAACAGATGGTGGTAATAATCCTCTGCACGCATGTGCTGATGTCTGTGGAGATGGGGATTAAATTATAACTTCTGTCCTGCTTAACTTGCTGGCAGTAACAGGAAGTTTAATGCCTGCTACCTTCAATCACAGTTCAGATCTATCCAGAGAGTTTCCAGCTCTATTCCTTGTATTTCACTTTGTGACTTTATTTCTTTAAAAGTAAATTTCAATTTCTGCACATTCTCTTTGTTGTTGCTAGACTTTTCAAGGCTTGGGAGATATTCCTGAATGTAACAGCTGCACTTCCATGAACGCTAACAAGGCTCTGTGAAAGCTGAATCTGTGGACATCCCTACTCACAAAATTTTACCAGCTGAAATAACGTACATACACTACTTTTGTTTAACTGGTACCAACTTCATGTACCACTCAGGTCTGTAGAAAAACGTCTGTTCATCAAATAAACTTAAATGAGCGAGGACACTTTCGCATACAGACAAGACCAGGTTCTGTATACTCGTAGCAATGCAAGTCCCAAGTTATGCCAAACAATGTCACTGAATTTGGCGCACCAAGTGCACAAAACCCACAGAAGCCCTGGGAACACAGTATAGGTACTGCCTGGTGTCTGCTCCTCAAAAGGAGCTGTAAGAGACACAGGAAAGGGATAAAATGACTGGGGCCAGCCTGTCTGGTGCAATTCCTCCTTCTTGCTCTGCAGAAAGAAGGATCCAGTCCAACAATTTCAGGAAGGGTATAAAAGCCTAGAAAAGGACCAGTGATTTGCATGAGAGACCAATCTTTTCCCTCTGGGAAGGAACAATGCAATTCTGTGAATTGTACGGTGAATACAAAATAAAACTACCAGGGCAGCAATTCTCTTTGCCATGACTCCAGCTGGTCCTGCCTCCAAAGAGCATAATGCCGTGACAGGGAAGTAAAAGCATTTTTAAAGGCTTTCTAACAGCAAAGAAACAAAAAGAAAGCAAACAAGGGGTTTCTTCAGAAGAGAAACTGGGTAGAGGAAAGAAGCAAGATACACTAATTGCAAAGGGATCTACCATTTCAGCCAGGATGTTTGTTTGGCATTTGCCTTTCTAGAAAGAGTTTGGTGCTTGAATGGAAGGAAGCAAAATGCACAGAGGAGGTTCAGAACAAAAGGCAGATATTGTATCTTAAAAGTTTATCAGTCACAATTAATAGGGTCATCTCTTGCATGCTTTCTGGCAGAAGAGTCTGCTGGATTTTGATCCAACAGTTTAACAATGCCTCCAGAGAGGGACAGAGGAAGACCTCTGACAATTAGACAGGCATCTTCTGGTACTACTTTTGATCAGGAAGCATAATCAACTTCTCTCACACACACAAAAAAAAAGAAAATTAAAAGCTTGTCTGTCATATTTTCCTCTAACTACAGTAATTACTGATAGTTAAAAGATAAGGCATGCAAATGAAAAAAAGTGTGGACATTTTAATTCAGATTCTTTTTGTACTAAAAAAACTCCACTATGCTTTATGAATAGGATGAGACCTCTTTTCCCATTATTATTTAATAACTGTAGTCTGATAGCTAAGACAAAATCTGTCTTCGATTGTGGCAGGCAGATGTCTGTGGAGAGCTAAAAGAAAGCATATCATGCCAGGCTATGTTTCTAATCTGGGGTGGGAAGGGAAGTATCAATGGCAGGGAGGATAAAACAATCTTGTACAAAAATCTGTTGGTTATCTGCACTTAATCATCTGCTAAAACAGAATTGTTTTTTTGTGTAAAAACCTGGTACACCTACTATGTCAATTCAGCAGAGAGCAGTGTCACAAAAAAACGCCATGCAGAAGTGTGGCATCAATTAAAAATGTTATTTTTAAAATATTACATTTCTCACAAGCATGAATCTCTTAAGCAATGTGATAAATTATCATTGGTATGTGGTCCTCCACTGGTATGGAGTCCTATATAGACTATAAAAACAGCATAACTAGCTTCCTACAAGAAAAAGCTACGTCTCATCAGGGTGACAGTCCCCCATTTTCAGCTGAGATATCCATTACTCACTTACTTGTTTTATTCTGTGTGAACATAAACAACTGTAATTAAAACTATGTGCTGCAGGACTAGGTTACCATCCAGTTCTTTAATTACTCAGTAAAATAGTCTTAAAAATTACTGTATAGATAGAATATTGCTAAAGCCCCCAGAGCAGGCAAATTCTTAATTCACTTGATGGAATCTTACTCAGATAAGTATACAAAATTACAAACCCCAATAATATTTCAGTTGCAACTAAAACATAGGATAGAAAAAAAATCACTTTCAGCTTACTTACTTAATTAAATGTCACTGTGTGCAGACAGAGTCTCAACCTATTTATGAAAAATGCAGCTAAGCTGACTTCTTTTATCTGCACATACAGGTTTTCAGATGTTGCCTCTGACCTAGTATGTGTTTCCCAGACATAAATAAGAAAACAACAATTTGCTGGATGTCTAACTTCTTTCTTCTTTTTATCAAGTGTATCATTCTCTTTTCCTTTTTCCTGATAAATTTCTTCCCATTCCTCACCTTCACACTACTCTTTCTCTCATTTCTGGCATCTCATTTTCTCTTTGCTGTTGTCATCTTCATGTGAAAGAAAACTAAAACAAGTAACCAGAAAACTAAACTGAATCCATTCCCATTGTCACAGTCTGTAACTCCAATATTTTTTCTAATTACATCCCCAATTCTATCACTGTGATAGTGTAAATCCTAGCTCCTACTTTTAAGAGGTTTAGCCTTGAGGGTGACAGCTTCGTAGTGTCAGAGAAACACAGCTGAACCTGTTATTCTTATGAAGACAAAGGAATCTCTAAAGTACCAAATGTCCATTCTTTGGGCTGCTTTGAAAACATAGAGACAGGTTTTTTTGTCTAATACAATACCCATGAACAGTAGCAGGGACTGCACTGGAGCGATATGCTCAGTGAGCACAGCTAAAGAGTATGTGCAACATCTTCTGCTAAATAAAGTTGCTGTTCAGTTCAATGTGTTCATCTTCTGTAAAACATGACAAAGCACTGCATTCACTACTGGAAAGGTCTGTGTGAATTGCAGGTGTCACATAAGACATATCTTTACATCTGAATCCATTGCAAGGAATATGGTAATAAGTTCTCTGAAAAGTATGGTTTAATTTGGCCATCACATGTATCACTAGTGAATGTATTTTAAGTATTAACGTTAAATTTTAGTGCCATTTTGCCTTTATACATCTAGATGGAATCTGATTTCATTCCACCTCTTCTTTTACCCCAGGGCTGTATCAATTTACAATTTACAGCCTCCTGAGAGCTGTGAAATTCTAATAAGTTTAACTGATTAGGGTTGTTTTCTCCCCTTAACTATCTTCTCACTTGCTGTTTGGTATAATTTGAAAAACATAACATCTTCATCAGTCTCTAAAACCAAATTTCCTTTGAGGTGTGGGAGGGGGGCAGGGAAGAGGAGAGAGAAATGAAGGGAAAATGAAAATAAAACCTTTGTGTTCCCAGTCAGTATTAATATGCTATCCTATAAAAAAGTAGCCCTTCTAAATGTATGGCTAATTCTACAAAATAGCCACAGTCATTTAATATACACTTAGCTTACAACCACCAACAAACAATTAGGCAAATTGCTAGCCGAACATGATCATCAGCATAAAATGATGAAGATGCAAGTATACAAGCTGCATAAGAGTCTCCAATTTCCCATTGCCTCAGCTAACTATTTCAAACATGAATACCTTCTTCCTGCAAAATGTTTCTGTAGAAACCAAAAATGTCTCCTTAAAATAATATTTCAGAAAGCAGGGACAAATTCCTGGTTATAATCTAAGGATTCAAAATTGCTTTTGGAGTTTTTTTTACTTGGTTTTGTTTTGTTTCATTTTATGGTGGGGATTTTGTTTGCTTGTGGTTAGTTGTTGCTCCTTCTCTTTTAATACAGTGCTCTAGATATTTCTATTTTCATGTACTACTGCAAAAATCTTCATTACTAACGACAGAGTTGTGCAACCTTGCATACTACACAGCTGTATTCCACATATATAACTCCCCCAACCCATGCATAAACATAAAATAATGGCCTAGAAGTTATAAATAAACGGGTAAACTTCTGGGTTTAAAGCTAATTTGAATATGAAAAACTGATATTGCTGTAATAGTTCTCAACTGCAAAGCTGTAACTACTTCAATGATGTTGCAAAATAAATATCAAGTATTCTAAAGCAAACAGATGGAGGGACAGGCTGGCTTGTATATCTAAATGTCTATTGATAATGATAATGTTCTATGACGGAGCACATGTAAAAAATCACAGTATATTCAGAGAATTTTGTTAATAATAACTAAGTGAAGCAATATATATCCCAATCTTCATATTGTAATATAACCTTGAATACTATCTTGAGCCATATCTCAATTAGGTTTGAGACAATATTTTCACACTGGCTATC